ATTTGCACCCAACTTTCAAGGACTTTGACCTCCCTAAATCTTAGATGTAATCTTCACTTTAGTTGTAAAACTCAACATATTTTAATAAATCAATTGGCCAGATTGAAAGTAAATTAAGATTGAAGTAAAAAGATCATCAGAACTTCTTTAACGTTCTCATGGCACAACCAACTCAAATCACCATTTCACAAAATCTCAAGACAAAGAGAAAGATAGAGAAAACTACTCAGAAATCATGGAGAAGATACGATATGACTTGGAATTTATATATAAAAGCAAAGTCATACAAACTTCAATAAGTAAATACAACTTATCTCTAATTCCTCCCCAAGCAAACTCCTTGAAGTTCCTCTGAATCTCTTCCTTTCTTTACAGCAAAACAAAATTCTCGTTTGAAGCGGCAAGGAGGAAGAAATCTCTCGCTTTCCTTCCATTCTTACAATCTCTCAAAGAATTCCTCACAATACTAACCACTCTCTACACATTAATGGGCACAACAAACAACAAAGACTCAGCGTACACCCCCATTTTTTGGCCTCCAAATTGTTTCTTTAAAGTTGTAGAAGACTTTTCAAGAATTGCCCAAGCATCCCTTCAAAAATTATCCATAGTCAATGCATCTGTTAAGAGAACCGACGTGCTCACCGTCTGCGGCATCGATGGCGCCGTCGGGGCGCCTCTAGAATATTTAATTTTGGACTCTCGGGAAAAACCTGTCGTCAGCGGCGTCGAGCCCGCCGTCGGCGCCCAAGATCAAACCTTCATATTTTGGACCTTTTTGCTCCAAATTTGCTCCTTTTTGCATCTTTTTGCTCCAATGACCATAATTCAACATACCTGCAACAAAACATAAAAAATACCTTTCTTTGAAGTGTATTATCATCCAAATCAGTGTAAAATAGGTATGAAAATGTCAACATATTTTCTTTTGGTCAAGTATTCGATGTGTTGAATCCTCGATTCACAACCTCTTTCTTTGATTAGCCTCTTCTTTGCAAGAACACGATCATGTAACTTCTGCACATCAAAGTTGATGAACTTTTCTCGGTTAAAAATTCTAAATCTAGCAGAATTTTTAGAGTGGGACACCATTGGAATTAAAAACTAGTGACTTTCCCCACATTTTATCCTTTAAAATTGACTTTTGAAATATCTTTTGGGAGTTTTAAGGGGAAAAACTGCCAAAAACCACCATTTGAAACGTTTTAAGTCATTTCCATCCTGTGGCACTTCATGTGCCGATTATGGTGCATCATGCTCCAGCGGTCTGGAATATGCAGCATCATGTGCCATTCTGGTGCATCATGCACGAGTTCCTAAAATTTCATCATTTCAATTTTTATCTAATAAATCCTCAATTTTTTATGCAATTAAATAAATAAAGATGTTTTTAAATATTTAATCAATGTCAAATTTTAAATACACAAAACGATTTGAAGCACAAGTATATTAATATGAGTTTACTTATGACAGAAGTAAGGCTGCTAGGCCTGTAGTATTCCCAAGTCTTCTGCAGATCTCCTTTAGGGGTTAGCACAATAGAAGTGTCTCCAAAATAGCTAGGGAGATTGACCCCCCTAAAGAAGCTCTTGATTGCCTCAATTACCTCCTTCTTTATAATGTACCAAGATTTTTTATAAAAGTCAGCAGTAAATCCATTAGGGCCAGTTGTTTTGGAGTTGTCAATGGTGTTTAAGGCATCCCAAATTTCCTCATCAGAAGGGGGTTCAGTGAGATTGAGCTGAATAGTATAATCTACTTCCTTAGTAAAATAGTCTTCATAGTCAGTGTTTAGATCAACTGAAGAGTTCAGTAGGGAGCTGTAGTACTTAACATCATCCAAAGCAATAAGATCAATGTTATTAATCCATCTACCCTCAGTAGAGTAAATAGAGCGAATGGCATTGTATTTCCTCTTGTAACTTATATAAGCATGGTAGAACTTTTTGTTTCTGTCACCTCAATAAAAATGTTAATAGAAGCTTTTTGTTTGAGTAACATATCTTGTATGTCAATAGCATTAAGTAGATTAGTCTGGACAGTAAGTAGATCAGTCTCAGTGGCAGTTTCATTCTGAACAGCAGCTTCTACTTTCCTTACTTCCTTTTTAGCAGATAAGGCATTGGAAAAGACATTCCCAAAAGTCTCCCAACCCCACTTCCTCAAAGCTTTGCTTGTTTTCAGATGAAGAAGGTCGAGCTTGATGAAAGGGTCAGTATGATCAATACTCATCCAATTAGAAGCAACACAGCTGATGAAAAGGGGGCGAGTAGATTAAGATATCTGAAAGGGGGGGTGATATGTGGTATTGTTAGGGGAAGTAATAGATATAAGAAGTGGTCTATGATCAGAACCAGTGAGGGTTAGGTGAGTAACAAAAGTTAGGAGGTAGTGTTTATGTCAGTAGTCATTCACTAACACCCTGTCAAGTCTTTCCCGCAGTAGACCCCATTTCCAAGTGAATTTAGGACCCTAGTATCCCAAGTCAAACAAGCCAGCTTGCTAAATTTGATCATTGAAGAAAGCCATTTTGGACAGATTGGGAGGTCTCCCCTCAGATTTCTCTGTTGCAGTAGTGATACAATTGAAATCTCCCCTACCATCCAGGGAGAGTTCATATTTGTGCTGATGAGATGTAAGCCCTCCCAATGCTCCTGCTATCTTCTTTGAGACTTACAGCATAAATAAAGGTTGCATACTTTATTTCTTCCTTTTCAGAATGCTCCACTTTAATAAATAATTTCATATTTGTTGCTGAATTTGATCATTGATAAATAAGTGGTCAATAAGAATGCTCCACTTTATTTCTTTCCTACAAAAGAACCAAACTTTTTTATTTTTGTTAGCATAATGAGAAAATCCACGGAATTTGCTTAGCATAATGAGAAAATCCATGGAATTTGTTAATAATTCTATGGGAGTTTTGCTGAACCATTGGTTCAAGGATAGCAAAACACCATAGTTTATATTTTTTGTTGTGATAAATCAATCTTCTTAAAGATTGGGAATGAGCAATTCCCCTTATATTCCAACACAACATATTAATCATTAGAGGGATTGAAATGAAGAGAAGGCTGAGATCTTGATTTGGTCCTTCCTCTAGAGGGAGGAGGTCCCCAAATCTTCAGAACACCTGTGCTCCCATTATTTCCTTCTTTTAATTTTTGGACTTGTGATAGTAACTTTTTCTTCTTCTATATATATAAATATGTGTGTGTGTGTGTGTTATTGGTGTTAGAGAGTAGGTAATAATTCAAAAAGAAGTGAAATGCATCTAAATTATAATTTGGAAGTTAAAATTTTTATGCATGGGGATTTAATTTAATGGGTCCATTTGTACCTTCATTTGGAAATGTATATATATTGATTGCAGTGGATTATGAGTCAAAATGGGTCGAAGCAATAACCTTACCACGATGTGATGCTCATAGTCTTTTAAAATTTTTAATCAAAAATATTTTTACAAGATATGATTGCTGAGAATAGTCATTACTGAGGGAAGATCTTATTTTAGGAATGCAAAAATTGCAAGATTGGTGGAAAAACATAATATTATGCATAGGAATGTGATGTGGGTGGATTTAGTCTGTTAATTTGCAAATATTTTTCAATATTACAAAATACACACAAAAGATACAAAATTAAATATGCAAAATAATCCCAATAATAATAATTTTAGTGGAAAATGTTTTATCTTTTAAAAATCTTTAAACTGCCAAATCCCCTAAAAATAACTCAAGTATACGTGTCAATCAAATAATAAATGACTTTAATGAAGTCGTACATATCGATCCAACAAGAAAGTTGGAAATGCTTATAAGTAAAATCTTAAGATTATAACGTAAACGACAATTTTAAGCTACAAAAGTTAAGTTTTAAATTCAAATATAAAGTAATAAAGTGAATGTTAAATAAAATGAAGTAAAAAGACAGTTGATTAAACTAATTGCTAAAATTTCAAGAGTCAAATTTACAAAAACTAAAAAAAAATTGTGACGAAGAGTTCAAATTTGTCCAAAACCTCTCTTTTATTAAAGGCTACCTCCCTCAGAAAAGAATTCAAAATTCTCTCCAAAATTCTATACAAGTGTCAACCCTTTTGAATTTAAAAGATATATCCATTGATCCAAGAGATATGTCCCTTCATAAGAGAACCTTAGAAAGTGTTTAAATGCATTGAATCACTCCAAGGTGTGTTTAGAACAAGTGTCCTTTTCATAATTCAAGCAAAACTCATCCTAAACCACCTTAATCCGCAAAAAATCATTTCTGGTGCATCTCGAGTTGGTTCTGGTGCATCAGGCGCCAACTTGCTTAAGACCGCGATGTTCTGGATTTTGGTACTTCAGGCGTCAACTCTGTTCCATATGGCATTAGTTCTCTATCAAATGGCGCTTGTGGCACTAATCTAGAGCTTCAAGTGCTAGAATTCCCAAAATTAGCTTATTTGGCTCCATATTTCATCCTTTTTGTTACTTTTGCTCCAAATGCCTAAAATTGATATACCTGCAATAAAAATATGAAAATACCCGTTTTTAATGTGCAATATCACCAAAAATAAGCATAAAATATTTACTTAAAACAACATATCATTTTAGTGTATCAAAATCCTCAAACTTAAATGTTACTTGTCCTCAAGTTACACTTTTACTACATAAAAGCATAAGACTTAGGATATATATTAACTAAATTGTTTTGTGTCAAATAGGACAAATCCTATTCTTTACCCTCTGCAGAGTGCATGAAGAACATTGACTAATCCTGAGTTTGGTCGCTAATTCTGTGGCTAGGCTGGAAGAATACCAGCTACTACTAAACCCTTAGTTTAATAAATAAAATAGTAATATTTAATAAAAAAATTTGATAACTTAGATTCTACCAGCTACTACTCAAAAGTTCCCTCTGCTCCCTCACCTGAGAGCTAATAATCTCGCATCAGTTTCCAATCAACTAGATCAATTTGAGGATTTTAGTCTGTCACCTTAAAATTTTCAATTCTGCATTAAAAAAAATATATTTCCTTATTTATTTCAACTCAACTTCATGGATTACATCCGCTTCCATGAAATCAAATGTGACTCTCCCTATGTTGTGGAAATCAAGGCCTTTTGGATTATATGTTTCTCAACTTTCCTCGTAGAAGTGTAACGAAGAAGAAATCTCTCACATTCCCTCTCCTCTTACAATCTTTGAAGAAAATATCTAAACCCTTGACTTTATCTCTCTCCCCAACTCTTTTCCTGCCCCTTACACGAGATACTCACACTCTCCAAAACCTCTCTTTTATTAAAGGCTACCTCCCTCAGAAAAGAATTCAAAATTCTCTCCAAAATTCTATACAAGTGTCAACCCTTTTGAATTTAAAAGATATATCCATTGATCCAAGAGATATGTCCCTTCATAAGAGAACCTTAGAAAGTGTTTAAATGCATTGAATCACTCCAAGGTGTGTTTAGAACAAGTGTCCTTTTCATAATTCAAGCAAAACTCATCCTAAACCACCTTAATCCGCAAAAAATCATTTCTGGTGCATCTCGAGTTGGTTCTGGTGCATCAGGCGCCAACTTGCTTAAGACCGCGATGTTCTGGATTTTGGTACTTCAGGCGTCAACTCTGTTCCATATGGCATTAGTTCTCTATCAAATGGCGCTTGTGGCACTAATCTAGAGCTTCAAGTGCTAGAATTCCCAAAATTAGCTTATTTGGCTCCATATTTCATCCTTTTTGTTACTTTTGCTCCAAATGCCTAAAATTGATATACCTGCAATAAAAATATGAAAATACCCGTTTTTAATGTGCAATATCACCAAAAATAAGCATAAAATATTTACTTAAAACAACATATCATTTTAGTGTATCAAAATCCTCAAACTTAAATGTTACTTGTCCTCAAGTTACACTTTTACTACATAAAAGCATAAGACTTAGGATATATATTAACTAATAACTCCTATACTTTAGTTTAATAAATAAAATAGTAATATTTAATAAAAAAATTTGATAACTTAGATTCAAACTAAAAGTCTAAGAGTACTTAGTAATAAAATTTAAGATTTCTGAATTTCTATTCGTTTTAATGAAAATTGCAATTTTCCATATTAAGGTTACTTAAAACATTCATATGAAAAAGAGCTCATGAAAACTTTACTAGTAATGCTACTAATACTCCAGTATAAGTTCAGAAAAAGTAATAAAGCCTTTTCCTTAAGTTAAATTAAGTGAAACCAATTTTTGATTAAGCATCTCCTCAAGCTTCTCCTCACACATTTTCCTTTTCTTATTTTTTCAGAAATCTCTCACATTCCCTCTCCTCTTACAATCTTTGAAGAAAATATCTAAACCCTTGACTTTATCTCTCTCCCCAACTCTTTTCCTGCCCCTTACACGAGATACTCATTTTGAACTTCACTATCCTCTTCTTAAAATAAAAACTCCTTACCTTTCTTCTATTTATAAATTCATATTAGTTTATGATTTTTCATAAAGTTTCATTCTTTTCTTTTTACATGAAACTATAAAATTCTTAATACTTCAAAAATACTATTTCATTTAATTTAAATAGAAAAACATAGTCTTATCCATTGATACAAAATATCTTTAACTTATAATATGAAATTCATTATTAAAAACTTTTTACCTAAATTTACCACAATATTCATAAAAATAAGTATTGTCATTTAAAGTTAAATCTTAATATTTGAGATCATATTAAATAATTTTAAAACTACAGTTAATTAAGCAAAAATAAAATTTAGTTTATTTATTTTTTGTAAAGAAATTTTTCTTTCCCCCAAACTTAAATTTTTAAGTAATTTAAAAATGTGTTTGTACAAAATTTAGTTGGTGAAAGAAAAAAGTAAATGCATATAAAATAAAAACTAACTTGTACAAGATTTCTAACAATGAAATTAGGTTCTGGTATGCTGCAGGTACTAAATTTAAAAATACATACAGGCTTTAAAGTATTAAATGAACATAATGTATTTTAAAGGATTTACTGAACTTTAAAAGTAGAAATAAAAACAGAAAATACTAAAATGCACAAAAAGTAAAAATCAATTGTTCCTATTACAATTTAGGTCCACAACACAAGATGAAAGTTTTTAACACAACCGTTTCAAATAACATCAAACGAAAACATTATCAAAAATAACAAAAAATCATACAAAACAAACTAAACACCTAAGAATATCAGTCCTCGTCACCTTCCTCATCATCATCATCATCATCTT